TGTCTCTAGCTCATAGTAGGTGGTCAATAAATGTTTATTAAATAAAGGAATACAGAGTTAGGTTGTCAGATGTGCAAATCTGAACCCCTTTGGTGAAAGATCTGGACTGGCGATAAAGATTTGGAAATTATAAAATATAAGTCTTAATAAACTAGGAATAGAAGAGAATTTCCTTAACTTGTTAAAAGGCATCTACAAAAAAAAATCTAGTGAAACACTGAGCCAAGTGTGGTAGTGGATGCCTGTAGTCCCAGTTCCTTGGGAGGCTGGGATGAGAGGATTGCTTGAGCCCAAGAGTTCAGGGTTACAATGAGCTATCATTGGGCCACTGCACTCCAGCCTGGGTAATAGAGTGAGACCCTGTCTCTAAACAAATAAACAGAGTGAAACATTGAAAGCAGTTCCTTTAAGAATGGAGCAAGTTGTTAGACATGGTGGCAGAAGCTACTTGGGAGGCCGAGGTGGAAGGATCGCTTGAGCCCAGGAGTTTGAGGCCAGCCTGAGCAACGTGACCAGGGTACTCACAACCACCTCTTCTGTGCAATTCTGTAGGAGATCCTAGTCAACACAGTGATGCACAAAGAGAAAAGAATGTTTCAAAAGAAAAATACATAGGCTCATTACTTGGAGCTATACCATTTATGTATAAAATAAAATAATCTACAGATAAATTATTAAAATAAATTAGAGTTTAGTGAGGTTGCTGGATCATTTGCTTTCTAAAATCATTTTTATATACTATGAAAATATTCACCATCTGATTTTTCTGAGCTTATCTCTATATTTAAATGGAAACAATCATCCTATCATCACAAAATTCATATTCAGCTCAATCAATAGAAAAAGAGCCTACAAACATACCAAGGCATATTATCATGATGATTTAAAATACTAGGGATAACAAGAAAACCTTAAGAATATCCAGAGAAGAAAAAAATAGGTCACTTACAATGGAATAAGAATCAACAACACTGGATGCTAGAAGACAATAGACCAATGCTTTCAAATTTATCAAGGGAAATTATTTGATTTTTTAAACATGAAATTCTATACCCAGCTAAGCTAGTGTTAAATTATGGATGTTTAAAATAAAGACATTTTCAGACATATGTGGATGTAGAAAGTTTGCCTCACACACTCTCATCAGAAGATATCTGATAATATGCTCCAGCAAAAGAAGGGAGTAAATAAAAGGAGTTACACTGGAGATCCAAGATGTAGCGGACCTAAGCTGGGAGAGCAGCCATGGAAGTCCTAGGAAGACTTTGATGCAGTAGGCATGGCCCAGAACAATCAGCCCAGATCAGAGGAGTAATACAGATGGTTCCAGGAGGGAGTTTTCCAAGAAAAAAGAGGGCTTAATAGAGTAACTGGCACAATAGCACTTGAGATAGGAAGGGAAAGGAGATTGATTATACTCAAGATACTGCAAAAATATATATACATAATTAGAAACTCCAAGACAAAACCAAAAAAAGTACATGTAAAGAATAAATATAATTATAATCCATTACAGTATTTGGCTCTCTATTCAACATTTTTGTTTTGGAGACAGAGTCTCACTCTGTCACACAGACTAGAATGTAGTGGCATCAGTCTAGCTCACAGCAACCCCAAACTCCTGGGCTCAAGTGATCCTCCAGACTCAGACACCACGCCTGACTGATTTTTCTATTTTTAGTAGTGATGGAGTCTCACTCTTGCTCAGGCTGGTCTCAAACTCCTGACCTCAAGTGATCCTCCTGCCTCAGCCTCCCAGAGTGCTAGGATTACAGGCATGAGCCACCGTGCCTGGCCTCTATTCAACATTTATAAAGTCACAATAGTAGAAAAACTATTTATTGATATAACTAAATATGGTTATTTAATCATATTAGGAGAATAAAGGATGGAAGGTAGCATAAGATAGTTGAATCCTGATCAATTACAATAAGAATAAACATTTAAGGTCTAAAAGGGATGAATCCAGAAAATGCATTATAAACATCTTGCTCAGAGAAATAGAGGTTAACTACCAGAAGAAATAGCTGAAGGAGCTGAAAAGGGATTGCCTCTGTCAGAACTTATGAATGGGAAGAGGTAGCACAAAGCACATTTGTTTTTCACTTTAAACCTTAGTACACTGTTTGATTATGAGCTATGTGTATGTACTCCTTTCATTTTTTTTGTTTTTTGAGACAGAGTCTCACTCTGTTGCCCAGGCTAGAGTGAGTGCCGTGGCGTCAGCCTAGCTCACAGCAACCTCAAACTCCTGGGCTCAAGCGATCCTCCTGCCTCAGCCTCCCAAGTAGCTGGGACTACAGGCATGGGCCACCATGCCCGGCTAATTTTTCTATGTTTAGTAGAGACGGGGTCTCGCTCTTGCTCAGGCTGGTCTCGAACTCCTGAGCTCAAACAATCCACCCGCCTCGGCCTCCTAGAGAGCTAGGATTACAGGCGTGAGCCACCGCGCCCGGCCCTACTCCTTTCATAAAATAAAAAATGTATTTAAAAAGAAAGATGTTGGGTCTAGAAAGGAGTGTTGTTGTACAACTGAGGGGAAACTTGCCCTTCCCTGAAAGTTTGCTGAAAGATCAACTCACAATTAAGGCAGATTAATAAGAGAAAGGTTTATTTACCATGCGCATATGGGGAGAATCACAGAGTGATTACCCAATATCCCAATGAAGTTCGGATTTTTTTTTTTTTTTTTTTTGAGGCACAGTCTTACTCTGTTGCTTGGTCTACAGTGCTGTGACATCAGCCTAGCTCACAGCAACCTCAAACTCCTGACCTCAAGCAATGCTCCCACCTCGGCCTCCCAGACTGCCAGGATTGCAGGCATGAGCCACCGTGCCCAGCCTTCAGATATTTTTATACACGTCTTTTAGAGCGCAAGGGGGAAAATGAGTAGTATAGGTAATTCTGTTTAGGGGCGATAAACAGTTGCTAGGGAGGATGAATAGATGGGAGAAACAAATTGATGTTCATGGTCAAAAATGGATTTGTGGTAAAACTAAGGAAGCTTCAGGCATCCCTCTTACCCCTTGAGTGCTGAAATTCGTTCCACATGAGAGAGGAAGCCAGGTTGCACTCAGGCAGCATTTCTGATAACTAAAAAGGTCTTAGAGAACAAGATCTATTCTCCAAGCGTACAGTTATTTGTTGTGATTTATTTTCTCATTCTAAATATTATAAATAACCATTTTTGACCCTTATTTTTTATTCTTTTTTTTCTTTTTTTCTTTTCTTTTTGCCACTACTGAGTATCTATATTGTTTTTCTCAAAGGCCCTCAAATTTGGTAAACTTTAGGCCTCACAAACCCTAAGTGGTGTTATTCCAAAGTGGTTGGGATTCACTCAGTGTTTATTTGTTCTTTTGTTTTTGTTTTTCGTTGAGACCCTGTCTCATAGCATAGTGGTGGTTTTTTAAAAAATTTTGTTTTTATTTTTTATTGAGACAGGGTCTTGCTCTGTTACCTGGGCTACAGTGCAGTGGCATTTTCATAGCTCACTGCAACCTCAAGCTCCTGGGCTCAAGTGATTCTCCTGTCCTCAACAAGCTCGGCTAATTTTTTTTAGAGTCAGCATCTCGCTAAGTTGACCAGGCTGGTCTTGAACTCCTGGCCTCAAGTAATCCTCCTGCCTCAGCCTCCCAAAGTGCTGTGATTACAGGCATGAGCTTTGGTGCCTGGCCTTTCCAGTCTTGAGAGTGAAGACAGTTTTTCCTAGTAAGTTTTACAATTAAAAAATTGTGCCGGATCCTGCTTTTCCTCTAGTTGTTTACCTTACCTGGAGCTCACATAAGCTCTTTTTTTTTTTTTTTTTGAGACAGAGTCTCACTCTTTTGCCCGGGCTAGAGTGAGTGCCGAGGCGTCAGCCTAGCTCACAGCAACCTCAAACTCCTGGGTTCAAGCGATCCTTCTGCCTCAGCCTCCCGAGTAGCTGGGACTACAGGCATGCGCCACCATGCCCGGTTAATTTCTCTATATATTTTTAGTTGTCCAATTAATTTCTTTCTATTTTTAGTAGAGACAGGGTCTCGCTCTTGCTCAGGCTGGTTTCGAACTCCTGAGCTCAAACAATCCTCCCGCCTCGGCCTCCCAGAGAGCTAGGATTACAGGCGTGAGCCACCGCGCCCGGCCCGCATAAGTTCTTTGAGGGTAGGAACAGAGCTGTTTTCCTACACAGAGCTTCTGTGTTGTCTTCTACAGCCCAGGTACATAGTTAATACGGGTTTAATAATATTTGTTAAAGGAACCGATAAATTTGAGTGTCAGTAGGTTTTACCTTTTTGCTCCATCTCTTTATTGAAACTGTGTTATGTCCAAGGCACGAGGTTGTGGGAATGGGGAAGAAAGGATGGAGAGTTGAGTAAGGTTGATTTTTCCAAATCCTAGATCTCACACTTTGACTTTATATAGAAGATGCCTTTCTGGATAATAGTTTTTTTCTTTTTTCTTTTATTTTGAAGAACTGGGGGTGTCCCTATGTTGCCCAGGCCGGAATCAAACACCTAGGCTGAAGGGATCTTCCCACTTCAGCTTCCAAAGTAGTTGGGACTACAGGCGTGTGCCACTGCCCTTGGTCTTCGGATGGTAGTTTGAATTGCATAGTTCAGATTTTGCTAATGTCAATTCTCCTTACTCATGGGAGTATTATTGATTTGTTGAATCGTTTCGTACTACAAGATGCAGGACATTTTGTTTATTTCAAGATTTTTTTTGTGCACTCTTTAAGTGAATTATCAGCACATATTAAGTCCCTATTTTGGAGGTTGCTTAAAATGGGGCACACCAGTACTAAGTTCGGCTTTCTAACAATGACTAATTCGCACACCATGTGTGCAGTGTCAGAGGGCTGTTGGTTGCTTGCCAACAACTAGACATCTACCATTTCTTTTGGCCCCTTCGCTCCCAGACCACCTGCTTCAACTCGTTGGACAGTTTTGACCCTCCGTGACCTCTTTGTCATGGCGTTCGCGGGGTGTCTACCAGCAGAGGCTTCCGCAGTCCGCCGCATGTCGACCTTCCAAAGATGGCGGCGGCTGGGGGCAACTGCGCGCAAGGGGCGGGACTCCGCCGCCGGGGGCGGTGCAGGGAGGCAGAGGGGTCTGGCTAGCGGGCGGGCCGCTTCCGAAGTAGGCAGGCCCAGCGCGCCTGCGCGGAGCGGCCCTGAGCGCAGTGAGGCAGTGGCGGGGAAGGCACCAGAGGGGCCGACGGGTGGGTTGAAGGAGGGAAGCGGGCGAGCGAAGTCCCAGTGCGCGCCGCGGCGGCCGGGGTACCCTCCCCTTCCGGGCGTGAGTCGCTGTGAGAAGAGCTGAACCCAGCGGACCCGCACCGGCAGCGAGGCGCCGCTACCGCCGTCCCAGCCCGGCCTCCCTCGGCTTCGGCGCTCCGTCGCGGGGCCCGGGTTCCCCAGCACACCCTGCTCCAGCCGCCCCCAGAGCCTGTCCCCGGCCCTTCGAAAGCCCCGGCGCCTGCCCGGGCCCTTGCAAGGAGGATGACGGAGCTGCAGTCGGCACTGCTACTGCGAAGACAGCTGGCAGGTGAGCGGGCGGGCGGCAGGACGCCGGGCCCGGCCGCGATCGCGGACAGCCGCTGCCCGGTACCTCCTCCCCTCCTCCTGGGCCGGCCGCCGGACGGCTGGGAGGGACCGGGCCTGTGAGGGTGGGGACCCCGAGGCTCCGGTCCTGGCGCGGCCCAGCACTTGGCTGGCTCTCCGGAGGGCATTGGGGGCGGGGACGCGCGTCCCAGCTTTGGCTCCCGGACTGGGCCTGGCGTCCAGGGGGTCAGAGAGGAGGTTGCCCCCTCCCCCACTGTGCGGTGGGACGTTGCGGGGGAGGGGCAGTCAGTCTCCGGGCCGGGCCGCTCTCCTTGGAGGGGCGGGTCCCGGGCTCAGGTGCGGCAGGGGCCGGCGGACCCCGGGGGCAGGCGGGAGCGTCTGAGCCCGGCGCGGCTGCGAGTCCTGGCCTGGGTGTCAGAGCCGGGGGCGGGCAGCGAGAGTGGGCGAAACGGACTGACTCCTGGCCGGGTAGGTGAGGCGCGCAAAACTTCTCCCCGGGCAGCGCTGGGTCCGTGGAGTTGTGGCCGACAACAAAAGCGCCGGCCTCCGCGGCCTCGGCGCGGGCGCGCGGGTGTCTGAGAACCTGGCGGGGTGCGGGACGCCGCCTCGCCTGCCTCCGCCTGGCACGGGCTCCGGCTGCGCCGCCTGGCTGGGGGAGGGTAGGAGCGGGCGAGGGGAGAGCCGCTCGCTGGCCGGCTCGGGGCTTTGTGCTCGCCGCGATTTCGGCTCCTGCGCAGGCCTGCAGACCCCCGGGGGTGCGCCCGCCCGCTCTGGCTAGGGGTGGCGGTCGGGGCTGCCTCCCCGGAGGAGCCTGCGTTCCCCCTCCCCCATTGTCCCGGCCTCCGGCCGTTTGTGGCTTCCAGGTTGACTTTTTAGGGGGTTGGCTCCTACTCTGCTAGGACTGTGTGAGCGGAGCATGCGCTCTGGAGACGTACGTGTGCGGAGTGGAAGGGGGGAGGCGGGTTGGTGGCTTCACAATGCCGCCCCACGTGCTGCCAGATTTAAAGAGAAATGAACCAGCAGTTACCCCTGCTGTCCAACGCCCAGCGTGTGTCATTCTCAGTTCAGGCGACTTCACACTCGCCGCTTTAAAGCTAGCAGCCCCTAGCCCTCTGCAGAAGCCAAAGGCTTGAATGATGAAATGTGTCTTTGAAATAGATTTACTAGGAGTTTGAGGTGTTAGTTAAATCACCTTTATGGCTTCTTAAGGAAAAGGTTGTCAGGGGCTGTTACAGATTGTATAATTAGGTTTATTATTAGACTATGAGCAAGCAGGTTTGGACAAGTGCTAAAGTTCTAGATGCTCAGGAGTGAATGGAGAAATTCAGAAGTGAATGGAGAAATTCTAATGATACTACAGTACATCTATCACGAGTACTATATTGGAAAAACAATGAAAAAATACCTTTATTGCATCTTATATTTACAAACACACGCTTTCTATGTACTTTTTTTGTTTTGGAGGAAGGAATTAAGATTTTCTTTTGTTTCCCTAAGATTTCTTTACTCAGAATAACTTTTTATTATGTGGTGAACTATTAGACTATTAAAGTACTAAATCAGGATTAAAACAGTACTCAATTCTTACATAACTGAAAAAAATAAACATTTTAAAAGGGGTAAAACAAGTTATGCAGTTACTAAGTAAAATTTGACTAATAACTTGTTAGCAGTAGCAATAAGTCAAAAGTATTTCCTTCCCATTTGTGAACCAACTCTAGATTTTGATGGTCACTTGGTTCAGTTTTGCACTCTTTTTGACAAGATTAATCCCAAATATTGATAAAACACTTCCCAGAGGTGTTTGTTAGTGGTTGATTATCTGATAGGGCACACTAAAATATGCTTTAAAGTCGAAGAGAGGAGGATTTAGTTTGCTATTTTTGAGGCCTCATTATAAAATTACTTTGCTGCTGATTTCTTGACTTCTTGATCAGAAACAATGGAACTGTTCTTAATATTTTCTTAAATTTTTGAAGGATTTTAATTAATGTGCTCAATATGTACAGAGTAGTAGTCCAAGGCAATTGAAATGTAAAAACATCAAATGTCTTAGAAAGATTTGATAACTACACACTAATATAAAGGACTTGTTTTATTTTAGTATATTGTTTGAGCTTTGCAGTTTTTAAAATATCATTTGAAAACAGGAAAGAATGGTAAAATGTATGTAATTTATTGAAATATTTAGAGTGAACTTTTGGAAAGTTTGATAAAAATGCTTTAAAAATCTTGAAATGTATTGAACTGAGTAGATACACAAACCTGTAATTCTAGCTGCTAGAATTCCAGAAACTTACAACGGTGGCCAACAATGGCTATATTTATTCAGCCCCTAGTCTGCCAGTCCTTAATGATTTTAATTCATTACTTGGGAGAATTTATTGGGAGTGTTTTTGCTGGTAACTGTAAAGAAGAACCTGGCTACTTTCAGAGTTGAATAAAGTGGTTCCTGAGGGTTGCAGAGTTTCTCAACCTTGGCACTACAGATATTTTGAGCCTATTATCATTGTGGGGCCTATACTGTGCATTAGGAATGTTTAGCAGTATTCCCTGCCTTTACCCACTGGATGCCAGTAGTATGCCCCCTCAGTTGTGACAATAAAAAATGTCTCCATTGGTAGATGTCCCCTGAGGGACAGAATCATCCCACCTTGAAAACCACTGGATTAAGGTGTTTTAGTGTAGACCATTATGGCTATTGTGAAGCAAGTGAGAACACCTAACATTCATGAAATCAGATAGGTTGTATATTTCTTTGTGGATATTATTAGACCATGACTTACTCCTTGCAAATTCAGTAGCAGCAAATCAGCTTTCGTAGTATGTTATGTTAAACACCAAGAAGTCCTCCGGCACAAGAGATAATTTGTTTTTTTTCGTTTAAAAAAATTTGTTTTTTGGGAGACAGGGTCTTGCTCTGTTTCCCAGACTGGAGTGTAGGCATGATCATAGCTCACTGCAGCCTCAACCTCCTGGGCTCAAACAGTGTTCTTGCCTCACCCTCTCTAGTAGCTAGGACTACAGGCACACCATCACACTTGCTAATTTAAAATTGTTTTTTGTAGAAATGGAGTCTCACTATGTTGTCCAGGTTGGTCTCAAATTCCCGACCTTGAATGATCCTCCTGCCTTGGCTTTCCAAAGTGCTGGGATAACAGGCATGAGCTATGGTACCCGGCCAGTTTTTAAAAATTTTATTTTTTGAAAAGATATTATATGCATTGGCTAAAAAAGTGAAGAGTGAAAAAAAGTATAGTCTTTCCACCCCTGGCCCCATGTTTTTTTCATGAAAACATCCCTCATTGTCAAATGCACATCTTTTCAGGTGTTTATGTGGGCTGATGTCTACTGAGGACTAACTTGGACACTGTGCTGAGTACTTTACATATATTATCTCATTTAATCCTCTCACTAAGGAAAAAGAGCCTTAGAGAGAGGCTAAGTAACTTACCCATGATCACATAGGTGCTTCTAGTGGTGCTCTTAGAACCAGGACCTCCCTTTTTTTTTTTTTTTTTCTTTTTTGAGACAGGATCTCACTCTGTTGCCATGGGTAGAGTGTAGTGGCATCATTGTAGCTCACTGCAACCTCAAACTGCTGAGCTCACGTGATCCTCTTGCTTCAGCCTCCCGAGTAGCTGGGACTATGGTGAAAGGACCTTTTTATTTTAGCAACTTTTTGTTTTTGATTGGGTATATTGCCTCTCAGGGAGCAGTAATTAATACAGTCACGAAATAGGATTTTAAATATTTAAATATTCAAAATTAATTTTGTTTATGCTATCTTAATACAAGTGTACAAAATAACACACATTAAGATCTTTAACACACATTAAGTGAGATTCTTAGGTAACCATAAAAAGTGTATTTTAGCCATTGTCAACTTAAGGCCAGCATCCTGCAGAATCAAGGTAAATGTCTTTGAAATTAATGTCATAGACTAAAGGTAGGACTAAGCCTTTTTTAGTGTTGACAGTTAACTCTGAGAAAAAATTTTGGACTAATTGGACTCATTCCCTATCCTAACCCTACTAAATTTTACTGTATGACAAGTATTTATAAGGAATAAGTAGTAGGTTTTCTTTTCTTTAAGATCACTTGAGGTTTTTAGATTTTCATTAGTTACATTTTCATAGGCATGCATAGACATTCCATGTTTTCATAGGCATTCCAGAACTAAGGAGAAGAATCCCTTTATTCAGGAACAATAAAATAATTGGGTTTCTTTTATTGTAGAAATCTCGATTGTGTATTTTAAAGTAATCTGGAAAATTCCAGAATCTGTGACTTCCTGGCTATCCATGTAAGCAGGTTGTTGTGATGAGTGTGTTTCTCAGACTCAGTGTGCAATAGAAGCACTTGGGGAGTCTGTAAAAACACAGATTTCTGGCCTCATCTCCAAAGAGTCTTGATGGGGCCCAAGAATCCAATTTTTAAAGCAGCACTTTGGGTGATTGTGAGGCTGGCCATTCTGTGCCACACTATACGGTGCCCTAAGCTATTCCTCCTCAGGACCACCTGCAGGTATCCTAGTTCCTGCCTTTTTGATACACTGTTTTTCATTATCAGCCCTGGTGTTCATAGGCTATTTAAAGAATATTCTTCAAAGGAGGCATTAAAAAGATTTAATATGTCTTACTGGCCTTTCTAGAATATATTGGCACTCTGACCTACAATAATGTTAACAGTCTTAAATAAGCAGAAAGAGTAGTATTTGGTTATTAACAGTTAACAGTTGTTTGCCGGGCGCGGTGGCTCATGCCTGTAATCCTAGCTTTCTGGGAGGCCGAGGCGGGCAGATTGTTTGAGCTCAGGAGTTCGAAACCAGCCTGAGCAAGAGCGAGACCCCGTCTCTACTAAAAATACAAAGAAATTAATTGGACAACTAAAAATATGTAGAGAAATTAGCCGGGCATGGTGGCGCATGCCTGTAGTCCCAGCTACTTGGGAGGCTGAGGCAGGAGGATCGCTTGAGCCCAG